TCTAGGAGCCAAGGTCAACGTTTTTAAAGGAAAGAAAATCCGTCTTAGTGGGCTTTTGAACTCATGACCGTCAGACCCCCAGGCGAGCATCTATCTATGGCGGCTTCCGCTAATAACTTGTGGCTGATGACTTTTCATAATGCCCCTAATACTGAATATGAATAAATTGCTGTGTTTCATTATCCCGCGTGATCACCTGAATTATGAGTGAGAATAGTGGTCTTATGGCCTAGCCATCAAGGTATTTATCTCTTGTTTTCTCCTTGCTCTTTTCTCCATCAGTCTTGCCTGTTGTCAGCAAGTTTTCCAGTCTGTTCTTTCTCATAACCTGCCCAAAATCCTTGGCCTGTCTCCATCTAATTTCTCTGATCAGTTTATGGTTTTCATATTCTCAAGGATAACTGCCTCTTTTGATTTCCCAACAGTTTGCCATGGCTCAGAACTGTGGCCGTGTCCAGCATCCATTTTGACCGGAAGTTTCTCTCACAATTACGTTGTGTATGTTTACTGCAATGCTGCTATATTTGCTCCTTTCGGTTGACACATCTATTTTTTTTTTCAAAGCATTTACTGACTGGGTTAGCTTCCCAGATAGTTTCGTGGTAAATGATGTAGCTTTTATTTTTGTGGTGTTCTTTTATGTTCCCTTATCTGCAGATGTTGTGCCTGGAGATCCCATCTAGGGCAAACGTGTGTAGACTGCTCAGCCCTCAGGGGCAGATCATGGGCATCCCTTACCATCCAAAGAGGTTTCCATAAATGCAGAGCTGACTCATGACACTGTGGTCCTGGGCTCACCCAAGGAATCTTCACATCCTGCACATGACTGTTTAGTTTAATCTCTGTATGATGAGCTTCCCACTCATCACTGGTATTCTGTTGGTAATCTTTAGTTAGTATTATGGCTATAGGGAGAATTTTCTTCTATATGATCTGAGAAAAAAATAATAATTCACCCAAATTTAGAATATTTTCCCTTTCCAACTAGTTTTTTGCATAATCCTGAAATACTAACCCTGGTTATTTGTTTCACTACCTTCGCTGCTGTTCCTATATCTTGCATAATTCTAATATTCCTAGTGATTGTTCTTGGTATTTTCCTTGGTATTTGGAGATATACTGGCAATCCAGATTTCTTTTGACTTTCTCTGCACTGCGTTACCATTCTAATGTTAGAAGAGACTCCCCCAGTCTTGGCTTGGCTGGCTGGCTGAATATTACTTGCTAGGTTTTTTTTTTTTTTTTTTAAAGATTTTTCTATGCTTGGTTTGGTTTTTGTAGCTACAATGTTTTGTGGTAGATTTAGCCAACCCCAAGGTGAAACTTACCCCAAAATGATTCTTACAATATGCCTGATATATTCAGAGTTGCTACCATTCTTTGCTCCCTGTGAAGGCCATGTTTCTACTGTTTACAAGTTGTTACAAGAAAATCAAGCAGTGGCTTGCAGAATGTTGTATTGAGGAGGGATTGCAATGAATACGATTTTTGTATTCCTTGAATTAATAATACATGTTTGTGTGTGGGACTTCAGGAAATATTTTTTTAATTTTGAAACTGAAAGCTGTGTACTTCTTACAAATGTGCTTGGGTGCTTTATTAATATCCTACCCCAAAGAGGGGAAATCCACAGGTCACAGGACAGTCTAATATTTCAGGGGGTGGTAGATAGGCTGCATGCAGTCATAGAACCTAGGCTGCACTCTCTCGTGGGACGTAGGTGGGTGGGGTTAGGGCCAGTTCCAGATGTTTTGGGGTCGTTAAAAGCAAAAAGAAAGCCGGGAAACCCAATCTTGCCACCCTCTAAAATGTTGGACCGTTCTGTGAGGTCAGCTGGGGTAGGATATTAATAAAGCACCTGTTTTTGTTATCCTTGGTATTATTATAATTATTGAATCACAGAAGCTGTCAAGTGAGTCAGTAAATATAATATGGAAAATGAAATTATAAGTTAAACAGCTTTACAAGAATACAATCATAAGTGATAAAATGGAAGCTGCAGTTAGACAGCCTTCATCCGCACACATTGCAAACACAAGAACTGAGACTGTGTGAATGTATAGTGAAAGTTCTACCACATGTCTCTGTAGGAAACCTTCCTTGTATTCTTGGTATGTGTGTGGGTGATATTCTGGCGTGATTTAGGATTGATTGATGCTTTGTTTTACCATGTATTTATTTGTATTCAACAGTGGGTTGATGTGAGTTGCAGGGTTATATTCTTCACAGTTGTGAGAGCTTTCAATAAACACATTATAATATCACACTTGTGTCTTTAGTTGTGTCCATGAAATGTTTGTAATAATGAGCTGGCATCAGCACACAAAAATTACTAATGTTAAAAAAAAAAAAATGGTTACACAGCAATCCATCCCTTTCGCTACGTACCTACCTATATCTATTGATCTATGTGTATGTAGGTCTGTCTGCCTCTATCTGTCTGCCTACCCACCCACCTATCCTTCCACCAGCTCATCCCACCATCCATCCCTTTCGCTACCTACCCCTAACTATCTGTCAACCCATTTATCCACCCCCATACCTATCTATCTATCTACCTGTTGTCACAGAACCCTGTGTCATTGTGACCATCAAATGCACTGGACAATGTTTTTATCCTTCAACCCGCCCAGTCAACATATTTTTTTATAAAGACCCACATGCCAATTTAGGAAATGTCCAACAAAACAACAATCTATACAGGTCAAATTCAGTTCAAAGCAGAAAAACTGTTCTGAAAAACTCAGTGATGTCAACCAATCAGATAGATTGCTGCTTTCTTCAAATATATTGAGGTTGACATCTAAAGATTTATGGAGAAGAAAGAAGATGAAAAATAAAGTAGTAGAAGAAAAATAAGTCTTTTGTTACACAAATCTACATTATGTTAATATATTTTCATAACAACATATTTAGTAACACATGCATAGTTTTATCTGATGATAACCTTTATTCATTCATTTATTTGTTGTCCTATTGTGCCATTATACTCATATATCATATAGGGCTTGCAGCCTATTATCCATTTCATTCTGTCCAGTGCAGTTCCTTCGACATCATGGAATGAATCCAGACACCCAACTCTAGATTCTGACCTCAAAGTTCACTTTTGAGTCTCTTATGGACACCATATATCTTCATTTCTTCCAGTGTCGTCACTGTTAATTTATTTTCAAGATGGCTTGAATGCAGTGCCATTTTTTTCTGTTTTAAAACATAAGTAAACCTTCCAGTATTTTTATAGTAACATATTTAATAACATGTTCATAGTTTATGTGACGGTAAATCTGGCAACAAACAAAATTGTTGTGCCAAACTAAGAACATCCTTTCTCTCCGTTTCATTCATACCCCTCTCTTCCTTTCCTTTGTGACACATATACGTATGCATGAATGTGTGCACATATACACACACACACATATGCACGCAAGCAGGCATGCACACACACACATGAACATTGAGAGATTTAAATGTATGTACATAGTAATATAAAAGTAAAGGACCCTTTCTTGGCATATTGGGCATATGATGTTACACTCAATTTTGTAGATAATTTGGCTTTTGATGGGTGTTGTAATAAGTACCACTTTGAAATGCCTTTACTTCTCAGGACACCATCTGGTTCCTTTTTTAGAACTAGGTTGATCCGAGAGCCATATACATTCTGACAACAATCTCACGTAATGTGAGTGGACACACAAACACAGAAAATGTTATATTTTATATATACAGCAGCACAAAATACAGTCATATTTAAAAAATGTTGCATAAAGTTAAAAAGTGTCTTGAAAGTGTTACTGAATATTAATACACGACTGTGACTGCAGAGCTTTTTTTGAGACAAAAACGCCAGTATTCACCACAAAGTGTCTAAGAAAAGCGCCAGTAGTCACTACAAGTGTCTATTACTGCAGCACAGAAAAAAATGGTGCCTTAAAAAGGTGCTGGTACTGTGTACTGCCAAAAAAAAAAAAAAAGGTCCTGCCTGATTCTGATTGCTTTATGGCTTTCAGGTTTGTGTACGTGTTAAAAAAAATTCAGGTTACACTGGGTTCAGTTTCCCTGGTCGATGGTTATTTACAATTAAAATGTTCTTTTGTAGGTTTTTTCGGACAATGTTACGAGAGTCACACCACAAGAGAGTTCGATGCCTCACCATTAGTATTCTCAAAGACAGTAGTGGGTACACGTAGCCAACCATCACTGTGGATAAGGCATACCCAATTTTTTGGGGAGACCATTGTGACTGAAAAAATTAATTAAGCAGTGGATCGCAAACTGTTCCTTCCCAGGCTTAACGACAAAAGTAGATATACACATGTTTCAGAATCAGTACTCTTCGATTGTTGCTGAAGATGGGGACAGAGAGCTTATGGGAGTGTCCCAAGTGCTATGATGTTGATTCTTAATTCAACATTCTATATATATATATAATATATATATATATATATATATATATATATATATATATATATATATATATATATATATATATATATATATATATATATATATATATGTGTGTGTGTGTGTGTGTGTGTGTGTGTGTGTGTGTGTGTGTGTGTGTGTGTGTGTGTGTGTGTGTGTGTGTGTGTGTGTGTGTGTGTGTGTGTGTGTGTGTGTGTGTGTGTGTGTGTGTGTGTGTGTGTGTGTGTGTGTGTGTGTGTGTGTGTGTGTGTGTGTGTGTGTGTGTGTGTGTGTGTGTGTGTGTGTGTGTGTGTGTGTGTGTGTGTGTGTGTGTGTGTGTGTGTGTGTGTGTGTGTGTGTGTGTGTGTGTGTGTGTGTGTGTGTGTGTGTGTGTGTGTGTGTGTGTGTGTGTGTGTGGTGTGTGTGTGTGTGTGTGTGTGTGTGTGTGTGTGTGTGTGTGTGTGTGTGTGTGTGTGTGTGTGTGTGTGTGTGTGTGTGTGTGTGTGTGTGTGTGTGTGTGTGTGTGTGTGTGTGTGCGTGCGCGCGTGTGCGTGTGCGTGTATATATATATATATATATATATATATAAAAAATCAACATGGTTGGCAAGGCGATGAACAGTGTTTGCTGTTATTCCAATGCCACCACACCATTCCTGCATTCAACTCTGGTACAGAAAAAGCATTATGCTGACATGACAGGTCACAGCGCCATCTGTCATCTTGGATGTGAATGATGCCGAGCCCAGATAGCCAGATCCCTGTTGACACATCTTCACCCTGTAAACAAAATAAATGCAAGAGGAGTTTCAAACAAACCAAACTCAAACACAAAACAAATGTAATTCAAAAAACAAGAAGGAGGTCCAGGACTCTTGTCATAAAGCAGCATGGTGCTGCGAGGAGGTACAAGGGGATTTGGCCATCGCACGACACTCAGGGGAAAGATGAGACGGATATACAATAAGAAAGTTAATGGTACTATCGGAATTTTAACTCTTCACTTGCTGCTGAAGATGAGAACGGAGCGCTTATGGGGATGTCCTAAGTGCTGTGATAAGTAAAAAAAGTAAAAAAGTAAAGTTCCCTTTTCACGCCTTTCGGCGCATCGGGCATATGGGCAGAGCGTCCTATATTTTTACAGACCATCAGCACTCTGTGGGTAATGTGGTCAGCATTACGCCGGCTGTCTTTACTTTCCCAGGACAGCCCATCCTGGTACCCATTTTAGGCTGGGTCGACCTGCGACGTCCCATACCACGATAAAATCCACGCAGCCTGCAGTGGGTTTCGATCGCGGTATGCTGGCTTACGAGTCGGACTCGCAACGCCTTAGTCACGGACGCCGCACAAAATGTGATGCCGACTCTTAATTCAACATTGTTTTAAGATCATTATCAATACCAGCACTGTGCTACCAGTGCCAGACTTGGACATTTATCAAAGGTTAGCCTACGTCAATGTTTATACAATAGATCAACATAAGTAACCCATAAGTGTTCAGCTCTACTTCTAACTCAAGCCAGAGCCTGTAAAAATCTCAAAGCAGTGCACAAAATCCATTGCACCAGCGAGGATCCTGAAATACTTTGGGTAGATTTTAAACTCTAAATTTTGCCAGGGCAGCGCCGTTAGGCTACTCTTTACGTTTACCAACTGCAGGGTTTTTTTTTTTTTTCATGCGCAACAATGCACACGGCGAAGTAAAATTAATACATTGGAAATGAGATGCCTGAGAAAAGCCGCCAACCTAATCATCCGAGACAAAGTTAGCAATGATATCTGTATGTGAATCTATGCATTCTTACATCCCTTACGTCCTTCTTAGGACGTAATATTTTGTTATTTGAAGCCCCACTCTGGCTTTTGCCAGGGGCCGCAATATAGGCAGGCCATCAATATGGCCAATTGTCTGAACGCGGTTTCTGGGACCTCTCCACGGTGATCCTCATCCACATGATGGCACTTTGTGTCATCGGGTATTTGTCGCTTGTGTGATGACCTTGTGGGGTAGAAAGTCAGTCAGTCAGTCAGCAATGATATTAAACAAACTGTTGGAACAACACCATGTAGTAAATTCTTTGAGAAACTGGAGATCAAATGGTTTAGTCACTAGTAAGAATGCAGCCCGAACAACTACCAAAGCATGAGCTACACGTGAAACATAACAATTTTCCTTTAAGCGGTATGTAGGTAGTTGTACCCGACCAGGACATCACACAAGCTATAAACACTCAGTGACACAAAGTGCCACCATGCGAATGAGGATCACCCGTGGAGAGGTCCCAGAAACCCCTTTCAGCCGTTTGGCCATATCTATGCCCCGGCTATATTCAGGGCCCACGGCAGAAGCCTGGGTGGGGCTTCAAATAACAAAAAAATTGCATCCCACGAGGGGACGACATAGTTAACTTTAAATGAATGGAACAACCACACTAAAAAATACTGTTCATTGTATGCAACTAACATAAGCAATAGCTGGACACCGAAAAACAAAGTTACCTGAAATTTTTGTAGTAGGTTTTTATTCTCAACGAGCCACGAATGAATCTTGTTCGATACTATGTATCCAGATCCACATGCAAATTTGGGATAAACAGCGCTGGAGAAAGTTGGTTCTCGCCATTTCCCGTGTCTTTCAACAGCCCAATTCTTTCTGAAACTGTGGCGAAAAAATATAAGGGAGAGAATAAACAAATCAGCCCTAAATATTATAATTACCTCCCTTAAATTGTTCTTCTAGGCTTGAAATTTAGGTTGACTTATGCGTCTCGAGGAAGACCAGTTATAATTTTACGTTCATTGCTTCAGCGATTAAGTTGTTTGAGCTTAAAAGCTACAGTATCGAAGCACCATCTCCATGAGGCCACAATTAAACAAGCGTGCATGCTCGTAAATAGTAGTAGTACTTTTACCCCCACCAGAACATCACACAAACTATAAACACCCGATGACACAATGTGCCACCATGCGGGTGAGGATCACCATGGAGAGGTCCCAGAAACCGCGTTCAGCCTTTAGGCCATATTTATTGCGGCCCCTGGCAAAAGCCAGAGTAGGGCTTTAAATAACGAAAAGTTCCTTCGTAAAAAAGACGAGAAATAATACATAGGTGTGGAGAATTGTAAATGACTGACTTTCTACCCCACCAGGACATCACACAAGCCAAAAACACCCGATGACACAAAGTGCCACCATGTGGATGAGGATCGCCGTAGAGAGGTCCCAGAAACCGCGTTCAGACAATTGGCCATATTTATGGCCTGCCTATATTGCAGCCCCTGGCAAAAGCCAGGGTGGGGCTTCAAATAACAAAAGATGTTGTCATAGAAAGGACAAAATTGGGTATGAGCTCTGTAAATGACTGACTGACTGACTTTCTACCCCACCAGGACATCACACAAGCCAAAAACACCCGATGACACAAAGTGCCACCATGTGGATGAGGATCGCCGTAGAGAGGTCCCAGAAACCGCGTTCAGACAATTGGCCATATTTATGGCCTGCCTATATTGCAGCCCCTGGCAAAAGCCAGGGTGGGGCTTCAAATAACAAAAGATGTTGTCATAGAAAGGACAAAATTGGGTATGAGCTCTGTAAATGACTGACTGACTGACTTTCTACCCCACTAGGACATCACACAAGCGATAAACACCCGATGACACAAAGTGCCACCATGCGGATGAGGATCGCCGTGGAGAGGTCCCAGAAACCGCGTTCAGACATTTGGCCATTTGTATGGCCTGCCTATATTGCGGCCCCTGGCAAAAGCCAGAGTAGGGCTTCAAATGACAAAAAATTTCGTCCTAAAAAGGACGAAATTGGACGTGGAACATGCCACTCTGTAAATGACTGACTGACTGACTTTCTACCCCACCAGGACATCACACAAGCGATAAACACCCGATGACACAAAGTGCCACCATGCTGATGAGGATCGCCGTGGAGAGGTCCCAGAAACCGCGTTCAGACATTTGGCCATATTTATGGCCTGCCTATATTGCGGCCCCTGGCAAAAGCCAGAGTAGGGCTTCAAATGACAAAAAATTTCGTCCTGAAAAGGACGAAACTGGTTGATTAATATACACTCTGTAAATTGGATTGGATTGGATTTTTTACCCCACCAGGACATCACACAAGCGATAAACACCCGATGACACAAAGTGCCACCATGCGGATGAGGATCACCGTGGAGAGGTCCCAGAAACCGCGTTCAGACATTTGGCCATAATGATGACCTGCCTATATTGCGGCCCCTGGCAAAAGCCAGAGTGGGGCTTCAAATAACAAAAAATTACGTCCTAAAAAGGACGTAATGATTGGGGTAATATGTAAACTCTGTAAATATTGAGTATGGGGAGAAGTGGGTCAAAGTGGCCTACGAATAATGGGGCTCTTGTGCAGGGTTCTAATTACAAGGTCCGACAATTAAGTAATGAGACTAATTGCATAAAAATTAAAATAATCAACAGTTGAAGATATAACCTGTATTTTATTCAAAGTAAGGCCCTTGTGCATTGAATACAGCAAGTGGTACGATTTAACAAACACTGGGACGACCTCTGTAGTTCCTATGTTGTTATGGCCCTTGAAGTTGATGTTACGGCTCTTTGGATGTCGTCAATATCGTTAAAGAAGCATCATTTCAATCGTAACTTGAAGTTTGGGTATTGAAAATAATAATAAAGGGAGACAATTATGGAGAATAGAGTGGGAGGCTGAGAACACACACTTGGGCCAAAAATTTTTGTTTTGATGATGTCTCTTGGGTATTTAACCCGCTGATGTTTTTGGTCATCAGACAACGAATGGGGTACAAACCGACAATCAACTTATTTCTTGCCAAAATCTTGCGCTAAATGTTATGAATGGTCTTTCTATTAACACCAAATTCATCTGGCATCATCCACAGTAAAACAGGGATCTTCTTGTATCCGAACTCTGAATTTTGCAGTGAGTTTATAATTAAGAACATAAATTTGGCGTCCACTTCTAGGTGCATTAGAAATCATTTATGCACCACGTTGAACCGTGAATACCACTTACAAATTTGTGCACGAGATAAACAATTATCCCCATAAACTTGTTGCATTATTTCAATTGTTTCAATGGCGTTTTTTCTGGGTTTTAAAAATAATTTTATGTTAGCTTTTTGCTCTGTGCTGATTACGTAATTTTTTTTTTTACGGGTATAAAAATTTGACATCTTTCAACATGCGTCAAATATTTACATTACATTTTTACAGGTATGTAAGCTAAAGATCAGGAGAAGGAGGGGGTACAAAAACACAGGAGGCAGACGGGGGCGGGAAAGGGGGTGAGAGACCGAAAAGGAAATACAGAGGGCCACTCATTATTTCAGCAAATTTTTGCTATCGCCACTTCAAAATATAATCACATTTTTACATTTATAGCGGCAATTTACCCTTTTTCGTGGCATGTTAAAATATTACATTCAGAAAAAGGTACATTGCATCAACTTGTTTAGGAGAGTGGAAAACACAGAGGGACTTTACGAACATATAAACTAACATCGGAGAAAAAAAAAAGGGACACGACCACGTAAGCGGACAGGGGCAGGGAAGCAAAGGATGACAGTTAGGGCCACTCGTCACATTTACATTTGCCAGCGTAACGCGGTCTGGCAAGTAGTGCAACGGTCCGTATCCATCTTCCCTTGAAACCCCACCAGGACTTCGCACAGGAGGTAAACACCCGATGACACCGAAGTGCCACCATGTGGGCGAGAATCACCCGTGGAGTGGTCCCAGGAACCGCGTTTCGCCCTAAGCATATTTATTGCAACTCTGTGCTACCAGTGCCAGACATGGTCACTCACAACAAACCATAAAAGAAAATTAGTAACCACGGAAATGAGATGTCTGAGAAGGGCTGTAGGAGTGACCATAAGAGATAAGATCAAGAATGAGATCATAAGAGAACAAGTCGGCACAGAACCAATTCTGGATTACATACAAAGACAGCAAGTGAAATGGTTTGCCCACTAAGAGAGAATGCCTCGTGACACCATACCATACAAAGCATACATGGAAAGAGAAGAAGGACGTAGAGCACGGGGTAGACAAAGAACAAGATGGAAGGATAACATCAGAGAAACTCTACAACAGCACGATGTGCCTATGGTCGAGGCAGCCAGAAGAGCTAGAAACAGAACCTTATATATCCCTCGACACCCATAGCGGTGAAAGAGGAAGTGAAGAAGAAGAAGAAGATTTTTTTTTAAATATCGTAAATGTTGTTTAATTTTAATTTAAAAAATATTGTATATTATGGTTTATTATTGTTTTATATTTTGAAATGCATATATATTAGGGTACCAATGCTGCCTCGACACATGCGCATATTAATTAATTAATTTCCTTTGGCTACACTGGTTCTGTTCATGTTTAGCGAGTTACATACTTTTTTTTCACCCCAGTGGGTGACCTAGAAATAAAAGGCAAGTGTGTGTGTGTGTATGTGTGTGTGTGTGTAAGAGTGTGTGTGTGTGTGTGTGGGAGGGGGGGGGGTTGGGACGTGCTGTTTTCAGCTCAAAATATTACTAGGATGTCCCGTTTTCAGCTCACAATATTACTAGGATGTCCCGTTTTCAGCTCACAATATTACTAGGATGTCCCGTTTTCAGCTCACAATATTATTGGGATGTCCCGTTTTCAGCTCGCAATATTACTGAAATGTCCCGTTTTCAGCTCACAGTATTACTCGGATGTCCCATTTTCAGCTCACAATATTACTTGGATGTCCTGTTTTCATCTCAAAATATTACTGGGATGTTCCGTTTTCACCTCAAGATATTAATATGGTTAATCTAAGTACAATAGAGACCACGTGTGGTGCAAGTAGAATGATGCCTCTGTCGGCTTGATTTGTGAACTCAAAACCAAACAACAAGTTTGGAACAAAGCATGTTGCCGAAGTTGCCAGCTAAAAAGAGCAGTGCTCGTCAGTCCGCCTGTCAAAGCTTCCCTCTTAGACCCGCTGCCAAGGGCCTGGTGTCTTCTTCCTTTTCTTCTTTTGTCTTCTCAATGATACCAGGTTGTAGCACAGTGTCGTGGTTATCTGTATTTGTCTTGCGCTTCTCGGGTGGCTTGAGAGATAGGTTTGTTCATCTTTTTGCAGGTTTCAGCTACACCATTCATCCTTCTCTTTCTTGGTCGTCCTCTCGCCTGCCTCCGAGATGTTTTACTGTAAAAAATCTCATATGCAGTCTAGTCTGGCTGCATTCTCACTAGATGGCCGAAACATTTCATTCTTTGCCAGTCGTTATAATCCAGACATAGCCTTATTCCAACTGTCTCTCTAATGCTGGTATTCGTAACACTGTCTCCTCTACTGTGGTTTGTGAGGGCCTGCCTGGTGAGCCCTGCCATAACTTAAAGTTTTCAGGCTGCATTTCCTCCACCTCAGAAAAAGGCTAGTTTCCTTCCTACCTCGACTGTCCCAAGCTGTTGGCACAAGTGTAACGCCAGGTTTAGTAGACGCTACCAAGGGCCTGGTGTCTTTTTCCTTTTCTTCTGTTGTCGTCTCAACGATACCAGGTTGTAGCCCAGTGTCATGGTTATCTGTATTTGTCTTGTGCTTCTGGGTGGTTTGACCTTCCGGTCAAAATGGACGCTATGCAGGGCCACTTTTTGGAGCCGA